AATCGGAAGTATAAGAATTTACCTCTGTTCTGCAACTCTAGATATAATACATCTTACAAAATGTTGGATAATTAGTATGTTGGAACATATCACTATTGTTTCTTGTCACTTGAGCTTGTTGCATGATACTCTCTTATAAGGTTAAAAAATTCATCTTTTTGCTTGTTACTTTTAGGATCAAACTTTGCCCTTTGTCACCCACCTCCGTCCTGGGTTGATTTTGATCTAGAAAAAATCTTAGTGTCTTCCTTACCAAAACTTGATTTTATTTATGTGTTCCCCCCTTGATCAAGATCAAGGCAGTTGCAATTCACAAACCTTAAGAATGAAGAACTTCTTTTTAATAGTTGAATGAAGACATTTACTGACGAATCCAGGATTATTTTTTTTTCCGGAAGTGGCCGCTTCTTATCATATTTTATCTGCAGGACCTACAAAGCAAGCCAAAATATCTGGTAACATTTACTGTTGGTATTAAGCAGAAGCGTAACATTGATGCTGCTGTAAAGAAGGTATATCAATCTGTTTTGCTTTCATAGGTTCCTCCCTCCTCTCCTTCTCTCTGATTCCCAATTCCTCCTCATCCTGACCATTTTTTCTGTGCAGTTCTCAGACGACTTCACAATTCTTCTTTTTCACTATGATGGTAAGACAACTGAATGGGATGAATTTGAGTGGTCAAAAAAAGCCATCCACGTGAGTGTTCGGAAACAAACAAAATGGTAAGTAATATGATAACAAGTAGTTTTGGACTGGAACTATGATCAACTTCAAGTACTGCTTTAAACCATGTTAGTGACAAAAAATTTACCCTTTTATAAGGTGGTACGCGAAAAGGTTTCTGCATCCAGACATAGTTGCCCCATATGACTATATTTTTATCTGGGATGAAGACCTAGGAGTTGAGCATTTCGATGCCAAGGAGTAAGTTTCGTGTATTTTTCTGTAATTAACAGCCTATTTGACCCAATGTCTTAGTTTTTCTGAATCGTCTGTCCAACCCCAGGTACATTAAACTTGTCAAGAAGCATGGTTTAGAAATTTCTCAGCCAGGTTTGGATCCCAGGAGAGGAACAACATGGCAGATGACAAAGAGAAGAGGTGATCGTGAAGTTCACATGTAAGAGCCAGGAATCCCATGATATTATTTATTCACAAGTCCAGTGGCGTAGCCACCCTTATGTCAGGGAGTCCAATTGGACACTCTTCGTCAGAAAATTATACCGTATATACAAGTAAAACGATAAATAAAATGGCTAAATAACATATTTTGGACACCCTTCACTAGTAGCAATTTTTTTCACTTTTTAAAAAGAGCCTGTTCACTTTAGCACTTGGACACTCTTCGTAAAATTTCTGGCTTCGTCACTGCACTACTGTTTCTTTTTCATCATTAAACTGTACTGTACTTCTTGATATTTGGGTTTCTCTCTGTTTATTCTTCTTTTTTTTGATTTATCTCATCAGGAAAACAGAAGAGAAACCAGGCTGGTGCGCAGACCCCCATTTACCTCCTTGTGCAGCGTATGAATAGCTCTCCTGTTCGTTATTATTTTTTTTTCAGTTTACTTGTTCTTATCATTTACTCTTCTCTATTTTCAGATTTGTAGAGATCATGGCTCCGGTCTTTTCCCGAGATGCATGGCGTTGTGTGTGGCATATGATTCAGGTATCACACCGTGCACATTAATCAAGAAGGTCTAAGACGTTATACATTTTTTGAGATTGACTTTGTTGTTTTATCACTTGTAGAATGACTTAGTCCATGGTTGGGGACTTGACTTTGCACTTCGTAAATGTGTTGACGTAAGTGCAGCTCATCCAATGAATTCAGTCTCTTGGCGACTTTTCTTTCACATGCATTTGTCTTAGTACCAAAATTATTCAAAGGCCCTAACTATACATTCTCTTTTGAAGCCTGCTCATAAGAAAATTGGAGTTGTAGATGCCCAATGGATCGTTCATCAAGCTCTCCCTTCTCTTGGAAACGAGGTAAGTCATAAGTGAATGAAGCCAACTATTGATACTACATTCCCTCACAAATTATCAAGTAGCATGGCAAACCTTAAGCAATCGTTAATTTAGACAACATCTAACATAATTATCGCCCTTTCCTCTATACAGGGAGAAGCAAAAGATGGAAAGGCTCCTTGGAGAGGGGTAAGTAATTCTATGTTAACATTTGTTATATTGCTACTTTGTGTTTCACCCTTTTCTACTTTATAACGCGAAGCGGAAGATGAATTATTGTGTGATTTCATTGATCTTGTGTTTGTTGTGTCAGGTGAGGGATAGATGTAGAAAGGAATGGACAATGTTTCAAACTAGAGTAGCAAATGCAGAGAAAGCCTATTTCAAGTCTATAGGAGTTGATCCTTCCAATTTTACCTCTTATTAAGTCAACATGATCAAGTTGACAGTATACAAAAAAATTCTGGCAATTTTGCCTAGGATGTTAGGTGCCTCCATCTTGTAAAATTAATAGCTGTTAGTTGTTATGAATGATAACAATAATTTTTTAAAGGAAAGTATATTATAGAGCTTCCTTCAATAGTATCATACATAATTACTCTTTTGAAAAGACCTACCATCTTTTTCCTTTGTGTGAACACTCTATGATACACGTACCTTACAAATCAAATTTCTTGGTGTTGTGTTTTTCTTATAGATACTATCTCACAATGACTCGAATCGAAAATGGAAACATCAAACACCATATCTCCTTCATGTCTAAACACTAAAATATCTCCCAGTTGAAGATTAACATCCTCTACAAATATTTTCCAGTTATCTTCCAGCCATCCACGCTTCACCTTCACCACCCACCTCTTACCCGCGCTCCTCAGTATTGCATTTTTCATATGTTTGTGTCCCTTCAGATACTTCAAAAAATCTACGGGAATTTTCTGCAATTTAACAAAATGTAGTGTTAATCGTCAAATTTAAATCCTGAATTCATATAAGGAAAATTCATTTAGTTTATGTTTTTGATCTTTCCTCTGATGAACAAAAATTAAAGGGAAGATGAAATACTTACAAGACTATCCTTGAAACCAGGCAAAATGGGTTTGAAGAAATGAGGTTTTTTAGGAGTGACTTTCATGGCGGATAAAAATAAAAAAAAGTTACTTCGTTGAAGTTTTGGTTAGGTTTGAATAGTGGTGTCAAATGAGCGAATTGAACAGTATTTGAAATCAAAAATGTGTTTGGAGTTAACAAATAAATTTTTTTAAAAAATTTGGTGTATCAATTGTTAGGACTTTTGCATTAATATAAGAAGATTTTATGGGATCATAATAAATAATTTCAATCCCAATTTTAATGTTGTAACAGAAACTCTCAATACCAATAAATTGAGAATCTTCATCAAATTATGGCGTAAAATAAATCCCTAAACATTTCTCTTTTCCATAACAAAAAAAGTTGAATACATCAAAAGATTTTTATCACCTAGTTTTTGCCATCGTTTGGTAACACAATGAAAAGATCCATTAACAATCGATTTGCATCTTGTGTGGATGATTGTTACGCTGTTGTATATTTGTATTGTTAGTCTTAATACAATGTTTATTTAAATTCTACTGTATCGTATTGTTTAAATCCATCATTAGGTAACGGAAAAATTCTTTTTGTATAACTACCGAATTGGTGTGTTTGCATCGTTACTTTAATATTTCTTCTCATTTTATCTTTTTACTTATTAATTCTAATTTTTCATTTATCCTACCTTTCCTAGTAGTTCTACTCAGTACCCAACTATTTTCTTGTAGATTAATGATTCATATTCAAATTATGAATTATGATAAAACGATAAAATCTATCCAAATATTATATTTTATTAAAACAATACAGGACGATACAATGCAACACAATATAATACAAATACATAACAACGATCACATTAGTGACCGCAAGAGAATTTGGAAATAGGAGATTTAATAGTTTAAGGGAGGTAGAAAATAAATGAAGAATAGAAATTCTAATTTGTTTAGGATTTGTTATTTGGTAAGTATTTATTTAATTCATGTGTAATTAGAACTTATTTGTCCTAATTTATATTGTAATCTATTCCTAATCAAATTTAATTTGTTAGTATTATTATAAATAGAGATTTTGTGTTACATATTTTCTTATATTGAGCTTTTGAATTATTGAGTAAGCCTACCTCTTCCTCTCTAACTTTATAAATTTCTTCTATATTAACCCCTGTTGAGT